TGGGCATCGACAGTGACATACACGGCTGCCTAAAGAATTTATCAATGCGCTTGGGAAGCCAGCTGGAGGCCGACTTCTTGAATCAGGACGGATCTCATTTCGGGACTTGGTCTAAGGCCGCTTCCTGGGATGACGTCTTCACTGGGATTCGCTTGGGATCCTGGGATGCCATTTTCATGTTTCCACCATGCAGTACCTTCAGTCGTGCAAGGCATCGGCTGAATTCACAGCGCTCAGGGCCGGTCCCTGTGCGGTCGTCTTCTTTTCCTTCTGGGTTTCCTTGGTTAGCTGATAGGTTCCGCCTTGACGTTGATCTTGAGAACTACATTTGCAAACAGTGCATCAGCGCAGCAACGTTGTGCAATCAACATAACACAGGATGGATTCTGATCCACCCAGAGGACCTAGGGAAGCTTCGTTGCGGCGGCGACCCCGCGAGTTTATGGCAGTGGGCTGAGGTCAGAGCTTGCTGTGCTGCGTCAGCTACCTGCTCCACTTGGGCAGTGCACTTGTGCTCATATGGTTAAGTTCAGACAATGCACATCCAACACGCATTGCAACCAACATGTCAGGTGCACCAGCTAGCATCGCTTGGCCATCCTTTGATGATCAAGGCTTTTATATCGGGCCCCTGACTCGGTGCTCACATCAACATAAGGCTGGTGCAGGTCGAGAACAACACAAGTGGGCCACATCAGTGGCATTCCCGCATGCATTTCTGGAACATGTGGCTGCTCTCTCTGAGGGCTTCCTTCGCAACTTTCGGGCCACTGATTCTTCTTTTCAGGGTGCAGAACATTTCGCAGATTGCTTGTTGAAGCAGGGACGGCAGCTTGAACCCCACGATGGCGAAGCACTTGCTCGCCTTGTCCCATTCGAGGCACCTCACCCAGCAGCGTCCACTCAGATCTCTAGTGAGACGCCAGGGCGTGCTTTCTTTGGCGGAGCATATTGCAAGGGCGGCCTCACGGGCCTCCGTCGCAGTTGCAGTGATTACCCTTTGACTCTTCGATGTCTTACGGCACTCATTCGCCAGGCATTCCCCGGCGAGGTCTTTTCTTCACTAGCTGTTTTCCACAACCATTGTGCCCCAATGCATAAAGACTGCCATAACGCACCATTCGACAATCTGCTTGTTGCACTTTCGAAGTTTACAGGCGGCGCGGTTTGGTGCGAACGGTCGTCCGGAGATGTCCTTAGGTTGGTCAAGGGTGTCTCTAGACCTGGCGTTTTGCTTGATGTTGCAACTTCTCCACAAAGATTGCCTGCCCACACCGCCTTCCATTGCACGGAACCTTGGCAAGGTGACAGGTTGCTCTTGGTTGGATTCTCCGTGCATACATCCAGCTTATCTGCAAGCCGCCGCAGTACCTTATGCCAGCTTGGTTTCATTCTGCCGCCATCAGCGCTCCTGCTATCGCAGCGGGGGGAAGAGATCACCGACGGCGGCATTGTGGATTTAACCCAGGAGGATCCCGTTGTTAGCACCCCCCCAACGACAGCCGTTGCTGGGGGCCCCGTTCCTTGTAGCACCCCTCAGGAAGGGACCACTCCTGAGGCCTCCTCTAGCACCCCTGCTGGAGGGACCATCCAACAGGCACCTGGTAACGACAACCAACAAGACGAGGAGGAGGAGGAGGATCATGACAGTTCTGCATTTGATCCGGCTACAAGCAGATGTCGCGGCCCTGCAATCAAGTGTAGGCATTCAGCTTCATGGAGGGAACTCATTGACGGGTTCGGTCTGTGCTCGCCAGGAAGGTGGAGACCCATCGCACGCAACGCCTTATCGAGCTCAGCCGAATGGAACCATGCCGCTTCGGTACGGGACATCCTTGCTGCAGCTGTTCGTTCCAGTATCCCCGATTTGCGAAAAGCATCGTTCCTTCTTGCGACGGGCCGTTTGCCCAATTCACCATTTCAGCAGTCGCTCGTGAACCAGGTGCGCGCGGACATTTCAAAGCTTCTTCCAGACATTGAGCTGGCAATGCAGGTTCCGAAGGGGCAGCCTTTCTCGCTCCACCTCCTCTCTCAATCACTTGAGATCCTCGGCGACCCGGACTTCGCAATCTTAGATCAGGGATCCGAGTCATTTGCCGAGGGAGTTCCATTAGGATGGGATAAGCCCCTCCCCCGTGTTCCTCAGGTGTTTCCCAAGCGCACCGTCTTCCGTAAGTTGGACGCTTCCGAGTTTGATCCTTCTATGGTTAACTACAAATCTGCCGAGCTTAACTCTGAACAGCTTGAAAAGAAATTCCGGGAGGACGAGCTTGCAGGCCTCATGATCTGCACGACTGAGGCTGAGGCCAAAAGGGAGTTTGGTGAAGATGCAGTTTTGATTGCCGCTATGGGAGCGGTGACGAAGGCGAACGGGGACGTGAGGCCGCTTCACGACGGAACTCACGGAATCAACCTTAACAACAAGATTGTCATTAATGATAAGCTTCAAGTACCAGGGCCCGAGGATTTGCAGGAAGTGGCAGCGCGGGTGAAGGAAGGGAAGGAGGCTCCTTTCTCACTTTGCGCGGACATCAGCCAGGCACACAGGCGAGCCAAAGTACGTCGTTGTGACTGGCCTCGCATGTCATGCAAATCTTCCAGCTCATCAAGGGTCTTATGGTTAAATTGCGTAGGGACTTTCGGAATTAGTTCTGCGGCTTATCATTGGGCACGCCTCTTCGGAGCAGTCGGCAGGTGGGCATTTCGCATTTTGCATCTTGACAAATTCTACATGCTCATTTACGTTGATGACCTCCATGTCATCGTGTATGGAAGCGAGAAGTACGAGACGCTTTGGGTTTTGTTCCTTGCGTTGGAGGTTGTAGGGACGCCTTTCTCCTTTCACAAGTTTAAAGGTGGGGTTGAAGTCGACTACATTGGATACCACATTAGCTACTACACGTGGTCAGCTGGGATCTCCGCAAAGCGTGCGGGCTGGATCATCGAGTGGGTCGATCAGGTGGAATCCAACAACTGGATGACTTCTGGGAGGCAGCTTGTGGAGTTCGTGGGACGGCTCAACTTCGTCACTCGGATGATCACTTGGCTTAAGCCCTTCCTTGCACCACTTTACGCTTGGAGCTCAGTGCTCAGCAGAGGGACCGTCGCGACAGCCCCAGACATGGTTGTTCTTGTCTTGAGGTTCTTTCGGAGCCAGTTTATGGCGGGAGCGCGGTTGGACTCTGTCCACATGTCTTGGCCCGGCCAGTACCGTCAAGCCTTTCGCACTGACGCAAAATGTGAATCAGGTCGCATTGTCTTAGGCGGGTGGTCACTCGAGTCTGGCAGTGATCCTCGGTCTGCCAAATGGTTCTCGCTTGAAGTTCATCCTGCCGAGCTGCCGTCTTTCTTCAAGCCAGACGGGTCTTGCGAGTGGGCCTCTACGGCTGCAGAGCTTCTTGCATCCTACGCCGGACTTGTTGCTTTTGGGCATACGCGTGTTGCCAGCGGCAGGGATTCATTGAAGCTTCAGGTTTGTGCTGGCACGGACAACCGTGCCACACCTGCGATTACTTCCCGAGGCATCTCCAACAAGTGGCCTGTCCAGGCTGTCCACATGCAGGTGTCTGTCACGTTGCGCCGCGCAAACCGGATTTGCAAGTTGGAGTGGCGCCCCAGGGAAGAGAATCAAGATGCTGATGATCTTACGAACTCGCGGTTTGATAACTTTGATCTTAGTAAGAGGGTCCCCTTGGTTTTCAGTGATTTGCCTCTGGACATCTTCTCAGAGCTCCAGGCCAGTCACAGTTCATTCCTTGCTGACAAGGCAGCCCGCTTGCTGCACAAAAGGAGTGAGCCTAAAGCGAGTAAGAGACAGAAGCTTCTTGAGAAGACATCTTGGTGAAACCTTGGCACCCCCTGGCGAGCACCCCTAAAGGAGGGGACACTGGTGCTCACCGAAAGGTGATGGTCGTAAGCACCACCTGGTGCCTTCTTCTTCTGGCCGGTAGGCTGAGTCGAGCGGAATCCAAGACAAGAGAGACCCAACACACGCCTTTGTAAAAAGAAGGCATCTGTCCGACTGTTGCATGCGGTCACATCAGTTTGAGTTGCTTCAAGGATCTTTGCTCCTAAAACTTTTGGTGGAGTTTTCCCTAAGTGCCCCTGCCTGTTCCCTAAAGTCCGCTGCCTTTTGGTTCAAGCTTTGGGACAAGCATTTTGGGTTCCCCCAGCTCGTTTGTCCCTTTGCTTGAACCTGGGCGGGTGGCTGGGGGAAAAACGCCATGCACTTGATTTTCTCTTGAAAGTTCACATGCTTGGTTCTCTTGAACTGCACTTGCATTGTCTCGGTTGATGCGACATTCCTTTTGGAGATTGCCGAAACTCCTTGTGCCGTCGCGGCCATTCTGGCGCGAGAAAATTTTGGTGCCCACCCTCTCCGCCCTAATGACCGGATGCCTGTGTCTGAAACATGACATGAGCGATTTTGTTTCATGGAACAGGAATTTTTGTTTTCAAGTCATGTTTGAGTAGCAACAACATTCGGAGAGAACGCATGCGAACCTCATTTGTTGTAGCATCTCGCTTCAAGTGGGAGCTTGGAAACTTTTTGTTTCACTCGCCCGCCCTCCCGGGAGAGAGATTATGGCAGTGACTGGTGTGATCACCCTTCGTGGTGGATTGCCGTGTGCCGCCTTCGCGCGGATGCCAGTGCTGCGTGAAACTCCTCAGGAACTCCTGGTGTGGTTCATTCGACGTTGAGCAGCAGCAGCAGCAGCAGCATCCCCTTTTGCGATCAAAATGAAGGCAGTCCGAGTGGTTGAGCAAACAAGTTGTTATGCTGTCTCATATTCTGTATCCCAGATATCATTTGGGAAATATGATTGTTTGTGAAGCAAGTTTGTAACCTTGCGGAAGTGACTATGTGAGACATGTATGTATGTATGTTGGTGAGTGATGTGTGTGGGTTCAAGAGTAAGCCAACAAGACCGGATAACAAATCTGCCGAAGCACTGTCGTGCAAGCTGTTGACTACTCGCGTGCCCCTCATGTTTGTTGTGATGGAGTTCGTCACTTTCTGTAACGGCCTGGGATTCAGATGCGACCTCAGCTGGAGGCCGAGGGACTCGAATCAAGAAGCGGGCCGCATCACCGAACATGTGTTCTCAGACGTCGATGCAGACTTGAGATTACCTGTCAGTTGGTCAGAGATGACCTTGTCAGTGCTTCCGTCTCTCCTGAGATTGGCGAGCTTTCAGTCGGAACTTGATGCCATCAAGACGTTGGTTGCTGGTGGCGGCACAGAATCAGCCCCAAGAATAAGGTTCAAGAAGAGCCAGTGGGGATGAAGGTCGGAGATGCTCTCGTCTGCGAAGGGGGCAAATCCTCTCGGCATCTCCTGCGTTCAGGAGATTTGACTTGCGCTGTGTGTTTCGGGCTGTACGGACCAAAACGAAGGCCTTTCGCGTGAGTTGTGTTGTCCTTGTACCCAACCACACGGTCTCGCTCCGAGATAGTGGGTTCTCTTGAGAGCGAACGAAGGCCCTCGCGTCGGCCGGCTTGGACAATTCTTGGGGACAACATCTTTGCAAATTTTGCAGTGTCGATTTCTGTGCCGATTTTACACGGTCGATTTCCTTTTGCTTGATTTCCTTTGTTGGCAGCAACACAGCTTTGGCATGCCTTTACAAGCCCAGATCTTTTGGCATGCTTACAGAATGTTCCTCGCTCCGTGCAGTGCTGCTCAAGCGGAGCAAAATTTTGTTTGTGGGGCCGCTACGCCTGTAACCGCTTTCTAGAAGGTTCTTGGGCCCCCCGTAACACAAGGCTGCTCCTTAGGAGCTCGTGCACGCCGGCCTCGTGTGGCTGGCAGATGGCATCCGGATCCACCAGGGCCCCAGCTCTGTGCTAGGCCCCAGCCGGGGCGCCGATGAGTTCTGCTGATCTTGGGTTCGAGCAGCATTTGCAGCATCTTGCTTCTGAGGAAAGCCGGCCTTCCGTCCTCCCTGAGCCCTTTTCCCCGCCCGGGGCCTCAGCAAGCATTGACCTTGCTCCTCTAGATCCTAGCTGTGCTTCGCCTAAAGTAATGGGTCAAGGTGGGGTTCTTAAAAGGATGCAAGTTTGGAACTTCGTGCAGTTCCTCAAGGAAACCGCCGTTCCCGCTTCCAAAGCTTCTTCCGTCTTGAGCTCCTTCAGATTTGCGCACTTCGTGTTGGGGTTTAAGGATTCAGGCGTCATTGAGTCAAAGAGGACTTGCGGTTCGGCGGAGCAGCAACTCGTCAAAGTAAGGAAGCTGCGTCAGGCTAAGGACCTTACAGTCGCGCAGGTCCTCGAGCTTCGATGCGATTGTATGCCGGAGCCCTACCCACTGATTTCTTGTGCATCGAATCGGTGCAAGTATATTGTCCGGTGGACTCTGACTACCCTTGCTCGTGTTTGAAGTCTCTGAGCGTAAGGGGGCTACGAAGGTTCAGCTTAAGACGAAGCTGCTTCCGATCATGGGTCCCATGATTGGTGTGCACGGCAAGTGCTGGATCGCAGATGCTTTGAACGCGTTTAGAGATGCTGGTCGAGCATTGCCCTCGGTTCGAGGCCCTCTGACTCTCGCTCCTACTGATGAGTCAGGGTTGGTGGCGTCACAGAGGTCCATTGCTTCTGCAGAGGTAGGCCGTGCTTTGAGGGCATTCTTGGGAGAGCCTGAAGAGATTGTAGGCATGCCTCTTCGATAAAGACGAATCAGGCCATCTATTGCAGAGAGCTGTCGGCAGCCCCAGCCAGGAGGATGCAAGATTTGATCCGTGAGATTGCAGCAGGGCGCTTCCGTCCTGACAGCAGCCGCTCGAGCTATCTCGAGCTACTTTCCCAGGCCGAGTGAGAGCGGTGTGGCACCAGTGCACTCAGGTCGCCGTCACCTCATGCAGAGGACATTCCTGTTGAGCCCTGGGCCAGTCCTGGGCCTTTCGAGTCCAGCCGACAAATCGTGCGCCAGGATGTTCGACCAAGATGCCTTCCCAAATGCTTGATGCCCCTGAAGCCCTTGAACATATTCGTAGAAAAAATCCTCTTAAGCCCAATTCCCGGCAAAGTTCGAATCATCCCAAAGGCCTACCCTCAGCGAACCCATGCTTCTTTGGATCCAGGCGCGGTTGCAGCAGATGATGTCTCTGGCCGTGGGACTCTCGCCTGCCATGTTAACTCTGCAGCGCCACCCCACCCCGGAAGATATTCTTTCCAGGTCTGCAGGATGATTTTGATGTGCAGAAGGTTTTGCCAGAGATCGTGGGTCTGCTTCGAGAGTGACAGTGCTCGTGCTCGAGGCTTGTGCTCATGACTCTTGTGACGTCGAGACGTCACAAGATGTCCGATGCCTTCGCTTCTTGTGCAGTGACTTTCTCACAAGCCATTGCTCTCCGTCTCGGACTTCCGCCGGTGGGAAAAGCAGAAGGGGTCCGCCATTACCGTCTGTGTGCTCTGTAGCCGGTCTCCTCTAACTTTTTGGCGTTGGCCGCGTTTAGCGCGCAAAGCAAATCCTAGTTTCGTTCCGAAGATGAAGCCCTTCAGCGAGGAAGGCATTGGGTGGGAAGCCTGCATGCCAGCCGTAAACCCTCCTACCCTATACCTTGTGCTTTCGTGCAATGCAGTGCGAACACGTTGGTTCTTTGCGTTACCCTTGGAGCCTCCGTTTTTGTCCCATGAAGTGCGAATACGTTGGCTTTTGCGTGCTAACATGGACCTGTGTTTTCGCAATGCGCCTTAGCCTCAGATGCTTTGGCCGTATCCCGAACCCGGTATAGGGAACGGAGCCACGGGGCATGAACCATGTCTACTGCCATTAAGGCCCTGGAGCATGTGTAGCTTTGCAATGTTTTGAGGATCGCCTACCTTTACTTGTGCTTTTGCATTCGCACCTTCTTTTACAGGTCCCAACATAGTGGATATAGTGGTGCATGTCAGATAATTGCACCGTTTGGTTGTGCACCGGCCTAGAGACAGAGCTGGGCACCATCCAAAGGCTCTCAAAAAGCCAGAAAGCTGCGTGCCTCGCTACACGGAGCCTACGAGCATGGCAATGCCGACGGCTGTGGAGCCGCAAAGTGTTCAGGACGTGCTTCATTTTGGACGTTTTTTTTCATTTGGGGATGCAGTCAAACTTTGTTTCTATACAAGGGCCGAGTTCGATAAGCGAAGGAGTGGTTCGATGTCTTTCCCAATTTGATGCTAGACGGCGCCTGGAATAAACAGAACATCGAAGAGTGCCTTCTCTGCGCTGGCCGATGCGAGTGTTTGCTGTAGCAGGCGAGGTTTAGACACTTTCTTGGCGTTCGGTTTGTGCAGCTGCGTCAACGAGGCACGGCATCGACGCTTCAATTTATCACTGCCAATGCCCTTGGGGTGGCTATTTGGTGAAATTTGAGCTGAAAGGCTTCGTGGTGCAGAATCCGCCTGAGATTCGAAGCCATGCATCTTGCTTGCAGTAGGTGCAGGGGAGGCCAACAGAAGAGCTTGCAAGTTGTTGTCGTCCTTATGCCAGGTGCTGGTGCGCCCCGAAGTCAGGCCTTGTCCACGTGTCCGTAGATGTTCCACAGCCAAAGGATTTCGGGGGCCACCTGAGCAGGGTGCTGAGCCGTGACGAGGACTTGGAGGAGCCGCGAGCCGCGCGGCCGCCCTGGAAATCCCCAGCAAACGAAACGAACCGCCCCCCAGCTGCGGAGCTTCAGAGAGGAGCTGCACGCCCCTGGCAGCGCCACGGTTCGCCGAGACTTCGCCTCCTCCTGGGGTTTGCTGCGGCTGAGCAGTGCCTGAGCCCAGCTGAGCTCCGCCCGCGAGACGTAAGCTCTCTCCGTCGCAGTTCTGCGCTCGGTCTGCGCCCCATTCGCTGAGGCCTCTTATGGGCCATGGAACCATCGACTTACAGCGAGCGCCTGCCGCAACGCTCTGTCACCAGCTATCAGAACCTTTGCAGGGACGTCCCTCACACTGGCGACAGCAGCTTGGAGAAGCGTTGCGCAATCATGCGCGTGACCCAGCGATTCAAGGATGTGTGCAGTTCTGTGGTGCATCCCTGGCCAAGGTTCTATGTCAATGTACGGGCATGGCGTGGGAAATGCAGCACTGTTGATATGCCGTCCATGTGAAGCGGATGCCAGATTCGATGTTTTTGGGGTTTTCAATGTGCCCCAGGAGAAGCTTCTCGACTCAATTTGCCAGAGTCAATAGGTGATGGAGATCGAACAGAGCTGAGGTTTCAGAGCTGGGCCACCATTCACTTCCAGCTGGTAGTGGAATCAGCGCGCAGGCTCGCAGACGTACTCCTCCAAAGCCCCTTGCTGCAAGCGCTAAGGTGCAAATTACAGGTTCTTCTCAATCAATCTGTATCAATCCGTGAGCGTGTGTGAAGTTTTCAAGGCTTCAGGTCTGAGGTTTGGGTATGTCATTGAATCTACAATCTTCGTTGTTGGGTTGCACGGTTGGGTTGATACGGCTTTTCGTAGGGCACCTTCATGAATGTGTTGTTAAAGAAATCGTCGAACCAACTTACACCCCGTAATTCTTGGGTTCACTGGAAGCAGCCGTGTGGTGAGTGGTGCTTGGATGTCCCAGGCCCTGGCATTGCTGCGATGCGAGAACGTGATGACAAGTTCTATATCGTGACTCATAGCTGATTTGCTTTGATTCTTCCAAAGCTCGGAAATCACGCGCCGCGATTTGGAAGCAGCACCACAAACTGTCCTATTTGCAAACACGGAGCAGTTGCAGAAGGAAAGGCGCGGCAATGATGCCGCCTGGGATCGCTTAGGTTTTGTCAATCCAGTCTTTCAAGCGTGGTTTGCCCTTGGTTCCGTTGGTGAATGACGAGCCTCCCGTGACCACTATTGCAGCAGGCCTGCTGCAAAGCTGATCCGAAACGTCTAGTGTGCGATGCCGCTTATAGTTCCTCAGAGCAGATGGCTTCGCCAAACAAGTTTGTGGTTCTTGACAGGACGTGAGCTTGGTCTGCATCACTGGGTGCGTGCCTCGACAGCTTGATTTTCCAGTTTCAATTGTGATAGATGCCTGCCAGCTCAGGCTTCCGGCCACGCTGTTTTGACAAGTTTTATTTGTCAGAGACACTTGGCAAAATACCTTGCGACCTCTTCAACCCGTGTCTTGTTTCAGTCCAGAGGTATATCAAAGTTCTCCTTTGCAGCATCGGGGAGACCGTTGACGCCTTCGATTCCTTGGATGGGCGTCCTCTACAGCCTTTTCAGTGTGTGGTGCGTCGTGCACAGTGGATGGCAGTGAGGTGACGTGCCACTCTTGTGTTGACACGCCGCATCCTGACATCCATACACGAGTCTGCAAAGCCCCGGAGTGCCGCTCTGAGGACGCGATTGATCAATGTCTTCGGGCTGCAGAAAACGGCTGCTGTGCTTGCAGAACTCTGGCATCCCTGGTTTTGACAGGCTGTTTGGTCAGCCTTTGTGAGGCTTACCGTCATGCGAACGGCGGGAAATCAGCACCAAGCCTGCGCGAAGACGGCAAGCCGCGATTCCTTTCACGGGCGCTTCCTAGCGGCAGTAGGGATCAGTAGGGTTTAGGCAAAGATTAGCTGCGTTGGCTGCGTTGGCGTTCGTGAGGACGGAGAGTCTGGCGACGAGTCTGGGGAGCTCGCAGCGAAACGTCGCCTTCGATTTGATCGAGCGGAAGACCTTCCTGGAAACGCAAGATGAGCCTAGCCCTTCGCTTGGGCAGCCAAGAAACCGCCGCAAGACGATGCCTGCGGTTCCTCTTTGTCGGCTAAATTAGGTGACACCGGACAAGTAGAGGGGGCTTTGCCTCATGGAAGTTTTCCCGGTTTGTATAGCAGACAGGCAGACAGGACATCTCACGTTTTTTGCAGCGTGGCGTGGGACTTCACAGTTGTACAGTTGCGGCGAGCTGGAGGCTAGCAGACAGTCGAGTGTCAATGATTGCAGCCTCCCCGCATGCCATCATGTCTGGAACTCCTGGCGCACTAGCAAAAGATTACATGTGCTCATGGGGCAGGACTGCCAGGCAGACTGGCAGGGAAGGCTTGTAGTGAAGATAATTCGCAATGTAAGCATGTTAGCAACTGTTTATAACTTTAAGTCTGTGTAAAGTATGGTATTTGTGTTTACCCATTCCGCTTTAACAATCTTACATGTCGCCGCTTTGCTTGAACCCTTGCCTACTTCATGCATAGCAGCCACTTGGCTCAGCTGACATCTGGCAGTTTCATGCAGTCGCAGCATGCATGAACTTTCTTTTTGCATACACATTCATTCATTGCAGCAATGCTTACTGCTGATTCAAGTTGTGAGCCTTTTGTGATGCAGCAGCTGCTGTCGGACAGGGTCTGCGCAGCTTTCTCAAGTAAGTTGCGTAGCAACGACATGTCAAGTCATGCTAGACCTCCTTCTTCGGGCAGCATTGCCCAGTCGCAGGCAAAGGTTGGAGCGGGGTGTTGCAAGTAAGTGCACGCGTTCCTTAAGGCTCTAGGGCCTAAGGGTCCAGGAACCAAACCTGCGACCGTTGGATGTGCCGTTCGCAGCCGCAGACAGTTTCGACTCCGCGGGTTTTTGCAGCCAGTTCAGTTGTTGAGTGTTGCAGCACTTGCAAGAATCAGTTGAGAACAGCACAGATGCTAAGTGGATGTAATTTGCTGTGTTGTGTGCTTTTGCACACGAGCTCTCCCTGCCCTCTTGCTGAGTTTCTTCTTGCACATCGATGTGCAGGCACTCAGGGGGTTTCGGTGCTTCAGCTTATGATAATGCAGAGTGCATGCGTACATGTGTCGCCCGTATCCAGCTGCCACGCCACTCAGCGCTTCCAGCAAGCTCGAGGTTTGATGGCCACTACGGTTGTGTTTTGGCACGGGCCTGCATGCGCAATTTTCCAGCGGTCGTTGTGCGGCGACGGTGTCATGTCATTTGCACAATTCCTTCAGCAGAATTGCCACTAACTTTGCCCTCTGCCCTGCGACGTTGTTTACGGCATTGGCTGGCTAGTGAGGTGAAGTTGGCTGGAGGCTGGTGTGCCTTCGCGTGAAGTGTTGGATGCTGCAGTTGTGAGCATTCTGTTGCCCTTTCTTGTTGGTGCCAGTGCAACAGCGATTTTGCACCAATGCTTAATGGTGGTTCGATGCAACGGACTTTCGTATTGTTGCAGCTGGCAGTGTCTGCACAGTTCTCTCAGACGGGCAACAAGACGGTATTCCCGCATGCTCAACTTTGTTTTACGTTTCTTTCCTGACGCACGCCTTGCTGATCTGTATCTTCTACATCTAGCCGCAAAGCTGCTCGAACTGAGAAGAGATTTTGAAATTGTCGCTTTGCAGCTGATATGTGCTTGAAAACTTTTCAGGCTTGCTAGTTGCTTTTTGATTATCATGTGAGTAGCATACAGGCACTTTCATAACATAAGTTAAGCGCGCTCGGGCAGAAATGGAGCAGATGAGCCACGGGAGCTTTCTCGGGCAGTAAAGGCCGTGGGAGCTTGGAGGGTGCCATCCTAGCCGAGACAAAAGCAGTCGGTGGCAGCTGAGACAAGTGCAGCAGGCTTGAGCTTGGTGTCATGTTTTTGCACTTTTCCGGGTGGCAGCTTGTGGTCACTGGTCACCTGGAGAATGCGCATAGTTTTCACGAGGTGCATTGCTCGCAGTGCACGCTTAGCAGGCCTGAGCCTTCTCTTGCTGTAACGGGCAGCATTCCAAGCCTCAGCAGACCCAAGCTTCGTGTGGTGCGTTTGCTGCAGTCCTGCGTGCTAGATCAGTGGACACCTAGAAGCAGTGCTTTTGCGGGCGAGAGCAGCTACGTGCATATCCACTTGGGGACCGCCGCAGTATCAACTACGAGCTGTACAGCAGATCCAAGCTTCTGATTGTGCATTTGCTGTTGCCCTCAGTGAAGGCTCGCGGTCCCTTGGCGCAATGCTTTCCGCGATGGCGGCCTCGATGGAGTGTAGCATCAGCCGCGAGATGCACAGAAGATTTAAGCTTCAGAAAGCGTGTTTGTTGCAATGCAATCCTGGGTAATGCATCAGCGGTTACTTGTGCTAGATCTGTATTCAGCTGGTCTAATGCTGAGCATGGTGGCGACAACAGTTGTGTGCAGTACCAGCTGTAAGACGTGCAGCAGATCCAAGCTTGTCGTATGGATCCACGCTGCGGTGGTGGTGACAGCAAAGGGGTGCATCATCAGCTGCGAGATGTGCAGCAGGTCGCAGAGATTGTAGTTGGTGTAGTTACAAATCGGTTGCAATCCTGGGTGAAAATCCGGGGCCACTTGGGAAACTGCTGACAGTGGCGACGAAAAGCAGTGTGGCTCGTAGCATCAGGTGTCAGATTGGCAGCTGCAGCAGATCCATTCATCTGATTGTGCAGTTGATGTTGTCCTGGGTGAGGGCTTCCCGATCCCTTGGATCAATGCTTGCAATCCTGGCTAGTGAGTTTGTGGTTACGTGTGCCCATGAGTATGATGGGCACGTGCTACTGTAAGATCCAGGGTTACGTGGAACTATGCTCACAGTGGTGGCGCCAGCAGTGGAGTTCAGCACCAGCTGCAAGACGTGCAGCAGATCCTTGGTCCTAGTTGAACTAGTTGCAAATATGCCGCCGTGCTGAGTGAAGGATCCGTGGCCGCTTGCGGCCGCGAGGTATGCCTTTGCTGCCATGCTGGTTGATAGACTTTGACAGACGTGTGTTCGTCTGGAGTCATGATGAGTCATGCCGGTTCTGGTGACAAAAGCTTTCGTGGGCAGCGGCAGCTGCGAGACGTGTAGCAGACCCAAGTTTCTGCGTCTGCATTTACTATCCTGGACGATTGATGGCAGCGAATTGCGTGGCTAAACATGTACGTACCGCGTCAGCAACGTTGTTTCTCAAGGTGCAGTGGCTGCCATCCTGGTTGTTGGATCGGGGGCTAGCGCCAGCAATGCAATAGGCCATCAGTTGCAATTCTGCGGCGGCTCTAGACTTGTTGCGGTGCATCCGCTGCAATCCCAGTTCTGGATCTGGGGCTTCTGAATGTGTTGGGACAACAATGCAGTCCAGGACCAGCGGTGAGATTTTTTGCACCAGATCAGTTTTACTTGGTTAGGGCTTTTCCTTTTGGCCGCTTTACGGCTATTTGGCAGCGACTTTTGTCGTTCCTGGGGAAACGAGGCAGATTGTGATTGCAGTTCTCAGCGGTATTGTTCGATGTCAACATACAAAACTGCAGCAGATCCAAGTCATTCACGATGGCCTTGATTTTAGGTGGTAATGCTGTTAGACTTCCCCTTTGCGCTGGCAGTGCAGACTCGGCTCGAGACATGCGACAGATCTATGCCTCTGAACTCAGTTCTTGCCGATGGGTCAGCTCTGATCAGATTTGTGATTGAGGGGGCCACCCCGGCCAGTGCTAGCGACAACAGTCACGTGCAGCATCAGCTGCGACATGTGCAGCAGATCCAAGTTTTCTGAATGCGTATTTGCTGCAATCCTGGTTGTTGGCTCCGAGGTCACTTATGGCCATGCTCGTAGCCGTACTGCACAGCATGGTACGATATGAGTGTTTGTCGAAATCTCATGGGTGGTGGCCGTATCCTTAGCTGGGGTAACGCCGCAGAGATGTGCAGCTGTCCCAAGCTTCTAATTGGGCATTGTTGCAGTCATGGATGACGGTTTTGTATTCAGCCGTAGTCATGCCAGCTCTGGTGGCGATGGCAGTGGCGTGCATTGCGACAGATCCAAGTCGCCGTAGTACATCTGTTGCAATCCTGAGCAACATGTGTGTTCAGCTGGTCACCTGGCGTGATGCCACTGGCGGCGACAGCAGTGCCCCGCACAAAGACATGAAGCATATGAAACTTCCTATCGTGCATGCTGCTACCCTGAGCGGTGGCTTTGGGTTCCCTTGAGGAACTGGGAAACGGTGCGTGCGGTGGCAGTAGTGGCGCCACCTAGGAGCAGTTGCAGACTGCGCAACATACGCTTCCTATCGTGCAACCGCTGCAATGTGAGCGATGATGGTTACCGCGAATGCGACAGCAATAGCAGTGTCGGTGCATAGGCAAGAGAAATGATGCAAGGGCAGCTAGTTTCGACCAAAGGGCCCACGCTTAGCTTCCTCGTGTAGTGAAGTCGAAGTGTGGTGTGGAGTGCACCTTGTTTCCGGGAGGGCGAACGGCTCCTCTTAGCTCCGTGTGGGCACCGGCTGTGACATCCGCAAAATGCAGCAAACGAGGCTGGGTCGAACTTATGCAGGTGGTGCAGCTGTCTTTGTTTGTTACTGATTCCCGACATGTCGTACTGTCTAGAAGCTGTGCGGTCGTGTGTGAGCTTCTAGAGGTCACAGTGCCCACAGGTGAGACAAGGCCTTCCCTTGCTCAGTGTTTCCGAATGCCACATTATGTGTGACCCCCCAAGGCAGGTTCTTCCGTTTTATGCGGTGCAAAATGCACTTTGGAGTAGGCCATGGTTTGGTGCGATGCGGTTCTCGGAGAGCCCAGTGCACCTTTGCTTGGGCGATATCCCCGCACCCGTTTTGGTGCTATGCTTGTGACGAGGATGCTGGGAATGGACGCGCCCATTGGGCGAAATGCCTTTGTACTGGTGGCGTTTATGATGCCAGCTAGTGGTCATGTGAATCTGCAATGGCTTCACGTTTCGAATGTAGAGGCACATGTCCGTGATTTGCATTTTTTTTTCGAAAGGCTGGCTCATGCTGAGTTGCAGTTTCTCTGGGGGGCAGGTAAGACTTTTCAGAAATGCGATGCGCAGGATTGCAAGTGATGAATATGCGGTCCTCTGGGGTCACGCTTGCAGTGTTGGAGTGAAGCGTCAGTCGCGAGACGTGCAGCAGGTCCAAGGTTCATAGGGATCCTTAGGGGTGTAGGGGGAGGGGGGGTGAAACACTGTTACAGATCCAGGTGCAGACTGTCTCACGTATCACTTGCATGTATCCATGCCTGTTGCTCAAGGTTCTAGCAGACTACTGACTACAGCTGTGCGCCTGTAGCAAAAGAAGACACCTGTGTGCCTGTGTTCCTGTACGCTGTTGCGAGGGGACACACGTCCAGGTTACATCTCAACGTGGTAGCGGAGCTCCCGGGAAAAGGGAAGCTTCACACCGGTGGAGGTACCCTTTCGGTACTCTCCATACAGGTGGAGGCAACCGGATCCCCGGTGTGCTTCGCACAATTAAAGCTGACCGGAGTCTCTGCGGCACACTTCATTCAGGTGAAGATAACCGGAACCAGAACCAACCTTTGAAAAGCCGCATCTTCGGAGTGCAGAGACATGGCCGGCGGCGGTATTTTCAGGAGAGGAGCATCGCCCAGAAATCCGCGCACCTGTAGTTGGCAGACCATGGTGGCTTCATCCCATGAGCAGCTCCGACACACCACGGACTGACGCACCGAAGCGAGTCGGTCCAAGATGGCCTCGGCCGCTTGGAGTGCCTGTCAGACAAGGTACCCACCCTCCCAAGCAAGGTTCCGACTGTATCTCCCTCTGCTCGTGGGATGCGTTCGTGGGCAGGGCCTTCTCCAGATGTCCCAACCCTGTGCCGTCACAGCTTCGGCGTCCATGCCGTGGGCCCTCCTGCAGGAATGGTGTCCAGCAGAAGCCAATATGCCAGTACCCACACTGCCCAAGCGTAGATCCTCCAGGAAGGGTGTTAGCTGCTGAGCGCCATCAGCATAGTGCTCGGTGTCATCGACCTGCCCGGCAGCCGGGGCCCTTCTGCTTGCGGATGTGCGGTATGCTGCCGCGCTGCCCTCCCGCAGCCGCAACAGTGGATCTTGACAGGCCTTGGAAAGCTCTGGCGCCGATACCGAGCCTTGTGGAAGCCCCCTACGCACTGCAATGAGGGTAGATGGTCCATACAGCGCGTTTGCGCACGGAGTGGCATGTTGGAGAATGCAGCAGTGTACAGGTTCCTCTGACTGCGGGTGGCACTGCCCGCGCCTGCATGACGGTGTCGGCAGCAGCCAGCGAGACAGCGTTGAAGAACTTCTCGTAATCTGCAGCAGCCCGACAGAGATCCCGGCCATGAGTCGTTGCATCCTCCACTGTCAGGGTGTCCTGATAGAGCACCAAAACTGCAGCGCTGACTCCCGGCTCGTAGGCGCGGTTCGCCGTCGTTGGCATGAGCACTTTCCTTGTGACTTCGGGGCTCGCTCTTTGGTCCTCGTGCTGCGGCTTTTTTGCAGCTGCTGCCGTAGAGTACATGGCCTGGAGGGATCCTGGGGAAAAAAACAGGCTAACATCACATCTATTCTGAAGCCTCAGCCCTGCATTCATGAAGCGGTCTGGCACACTTGTTTTCACTCGATCCTTGAAGGGCTGCCACAGGTCACAGGTGCATATGCCCACATGTTCAAAAATCGCATCACCCCCCTCAGCCATTCAAGGGGAAGCTTCGAAGAAAAGAGGACTCTTATCGTCCTTCCAGGCCCAAGCCCTTCAATCATTGGGCTCAATCCACATGGCCGTGGCAAGATTCAAAGAGCGGGCACACGGGTGCTTTAAGCGCCTTTGGTGCCCCCTGATGTACGGACAATCTTCGTCAAAGTGCACGCGCTCCCCGTACAAGGTCACATGCATGTCTTGGAGCCTCGGGTTCGGCACGCAAGCGCTGAGGTCCGGCGGGCTGGTCTGTGTTCCCCGCTCGGCGCGCTTGATCTCCGGCGGCTTGTGCATGAAGGCGCGGCAGCACCAGAAGACCGTAGCAACGATCACGGCAAGGATGCCGACCGCCACGGTGAAGTCGTAGCCCCCCTGCGCTGCCATCGCCATGTTGCTCCCGGTGACCACCAGCTCAGTGGCCGTTGCCCCGGGGATCTGGCTCATCATGATGGCCGCCGCCAGCTTCTTTGCATTCATGGCACCGACCCTTTTCTTGATGCTGTTAAACATCTCCTTGGCAACCTCCGCCCTCATCTCGGCCTGCCCTGGGACATTGTCAATCACCCCGAGCATGGTGCGCAGCATCACGAAGCGCTCGGCGTTCATGCCTTTGGTGTGGATGTCGGCCGCGTTGTTCTGGGTATCCACCGCCAGGAGCTGGAACTTCTTCTCCTTGAGCCCGGCCTGCACCCATAGGGACTTCGTCTCCAGATGCCGAATCCTTCCCACTCCTTCTCTCTGAAAGACCCCTCTCGCTGCACTGCTGTCCAAGTAGATCTTGAGGACCACCGGGATGCGGAAGAAGTCGAGGACCTCCTTGTAGAAGATGCCCTCCGACGTGGCAATCACGCCGCCGTTGAACTCGGCCTCGCCGCTGCTCAGGCATATCATCGAGAGCCCTCTGCTGTATGAGCCTATCAGGCAGTCGCCCCACATGAAGACGCCTCCCGCGCAGCTCTTCCTGGTCTTCTTGCAGCTTGCCCAGTCTGTGTCCGAGGCCACGTTGAGGGATTCCATGTCGCCCCCAGCCGGCAACCAAACTCCATGGTCCTTGGTGCCCTTGAGGTACCGCGTCAAGCGACGCAGTGCATTCATCCCGCCGACCGTCGGGTTCTTCATCTCCTTGGTCAGCTCCCTGACCGCATGCTGGACGTCGGGGCGGTCAAAGGAAAGGTAGAGGGCCTTCCCACGCAAGACCGGAAGTCCGCCGCCTTGGCCTTGTCCAGGGGCGTTTCGTCGACCACATCCTTCCCGATGGCCTCTGGCGTGGGTGCTGCATTGGCATGCTCCAACCCAAGGATCTTAAGCATGCCCTCCAGGTACTTGGGGTTCGGCTGCACAAACATCCCGGTAGGGGTCAGCGTCCTCAGCCGACGCAGGTGCTCGTAGGTGTCCCCCACGCGGTGTATCTGGTTCTTCATGACCACCTTCAAAGACAGGGCCTCGAGGAACTCGATGGATTCCCTCTCTGGGCCCGTGCCGTGGAAGTCGTCCATGTGCACTTCCATACTGATGTCCCGGGCCCCGTGGTGGAAGAACCATGGCGCCACCACTGATCTCTCGAAGCCTTCGCTGCCCGCTTGCTTCGCCGCCCAGTCCACGAACTTTTGCCCGGCGATCCTCCTCCCATACCATTCTTTCTTGAGCCTCCATAGCACGTCGGTGCTAAGGCCCTTCTCTCTGCGCTCCTCGAGCCATTCCTCTGGAGGATACATGTAGCACTCCTCGTCGATGGGCACCTGCCAGAAGGCGTTCTCAGCGTCCAAGGTGAAGAACACGTACCCCTTCTTGACCCCAATGGAGTCGATGATTCGAGAAGTCGCCTGGGAGGATGCCACCGCAAACACATCATCCCTGTCGCTCTTGCTCTTCAGGTCCCTAAGGCAAAACCTGCATTTGATGCTGCCGTCGGGCTTCTCGCGGATAACCCAGGTGCTGTCCAGGATCTTCTTCCCGGCTGCCTCGGCTGCTGGCCTTGGCTCGTATGTATCATACTTGTCCATTTTCCTGAGCTCCTTGATCTTGCCCTCCAGGACCTCCGGGATGCGGTGGCTGAAGTCGTGGATCTCCTTGTCGCCGTCAGTGCCCTCCGTCTCAGCACTCCACCATTCTTCTTCGCACTCCCCGAAAAAACTCTGCTCCTCCTGGGGCTTGTAGAGGGTGGCTGCCACAACGTTGCCAATCTTGATCCTCTTGGCCTCTGCTGGGTCTCCCTCGGCCGCCCTCTTGTTGTCGCCTCCAGCCTCGGTCTCCATTGGTGCTCCCGTGGGCGGTTCGGCCCCGGAGCCTGCGGAACCTGAGTTCCTTGCGATCTCGGCGTCGTCCAGGTCGCGCTCGGCAATCTTATCTCGAACTTCTTGGTCTATCGTCCTGCGCTTCTTGCCCGAGCCTTCTGGAGGAGCCGTCCTGGGAGTCGCTGGAGCCGCGGTGGCCGGTGTGGCCGGGATGTCCATTGCCGGTGTCCCCGGTGCCTGGCTTCCTTCCATCGCCGCCGCTGGCTGTGCTTCCATCCCTCCTCGCGATATGGCGAGTCGCCTGGGTCCCTTCAGTGTGCTTTTGGTGTCCCAAGGGAGCCCGACGAACTTGTTGAGGAGCTCCTTGTTGGCGCGGCCGGCCGGTGGCAACCGTCTCACAGCTCTGGCCGTGTAGACCCCGTCCTCGGTGCTGAAGATGAACTCGTTGGTGGCGACGCTCTTTCCCAGGAAGATGCCTTGGCGCCACAAGCTGTCGCCCTTCAGCTGCCGCTTGCGTCCTTGTACTGCCCCCGTTTTGCTGATTGGCGTCCTGAACATAGCCGTCTTGCCGAAGGGCAGGATCTCCCCGGAATAGGAAGTGTCGAAGGCGTCCTGGTAGGCAGTGCGGCCGTTGGCTTTGATGCCGAACCGGCTTCTCAGGAAAGACGCCCAGCGAACCATCCAGGGCCACGCGTTGTGTGAGGTGAGCAGCTTCATCTGGTACTTGGCCTCCATGTCATACCGGACAGTCAGCACATCGGTCTTCAGCGTCCTTTGGAAGGCGCCGACGCCCCCCATGCTCTGTGACGAGTACCTTAGCGCCGTCTCCATGGTGGCCTTCACGCCGCGCACTCCCACCACCAAGTCCTTGCGAAAGGTGTCCAGGAGCCGCTTGCCGATGGCCAACACCGCCGGCTCGCCGTCGGTCCTTATAATCACTTTGGTGTGCCCGAGGCTCGCCACAAACTCTCCCAACCATCTGCTCACATAATCCGGGTCGTAGTTCTTGCTTGGCAAGCATGCTGCCGTCGCCATCCCCGTCGCTTCGTCCCAAGCACTCAGGATCACCTCTGTGGCTTCATCGTCCTCCGCCGCCGTGCCGTCGACCTTGATGAAGGAGTAGTCCACCTCGACCCTGGGATTTGTCGCCTTCAGCTCCAATGGCACGTGGCGGTGGGCCGTGTCGATGTAACAAACATTTCGCTTAGGAGTGTGTTGCCCTATAATCCTTTAGTTGAGCTGTTTACCACATGATTTTGTATAGTATGGAACAAATGTTCCACTGTGGTGTTTAGGCTCAAGGGACGCACCCAAGACAGCCGTGCGCCCGAGGAAAAGTGAAGTGCGAATATCTGTGTTAAGTGAAAGGGTCCGGAACGTACCCGTAAAGCGTTTTATGGTAGCGGAGCTGAAGGCCAGGACCTTCGGCTGAAGAAGAGCCCAATACAAGGAGAAAAGAGCCTTGGGCCCCAGTGTCACGGAAAGTGAAAGAAGGGAAAGTTGAATGGCCACGCCGAGTCCAGCTGGAGACGCGGATTTGCCTGTGTCCCCTGGTCACGGTGGTCAAGGAGGAGATACACCGAGTGATACGCCAATGGCGATGCCTGCACCAGACGGAGTTGCAGGAGGATCCCTTCAGGCCCTGATAGGGAACCTGTCGGCAGCAGCGCAAGCTTTGGCAAGTGCTGCAGGTACAGGAAGTACCAGAAGTTACGACTCTGCAGCTAAGCTGGTGAAGAGTCCGGATGTGTTTGCTCCAAAGAATCTGGAGGAGGAAGTTTCACAGTGGCCAGATTGGAGTTTCAGTTTCAAAGTGTTTGTGGGCTTCATTGATCCCACCTATGCAGAAGAGTTAAAGAAAGTGGAGCTGGCACCACCAAATCCAGCAGATTATACAGTTGGTGAAAGAGAGAGAAGTACAAAGCTGTATGCGATTTTGGCCTCGTATCTTAGGAACAGGCCATTGAAGTTATTGAAGTCAGAAGGAAGTCCAGATGGATATTCTGTCTGGAGGAGACTGTTTGAAGAGTTGGAGCCGTCAAGCCGAACAAGAGGGCTGGCAATGGCTCAAGCTCTAGTGAGCTTTCCCCAGATGACGAAGGGGACTTCTATCTTAGACTATCTGCTTACCTACGAAAAACTGGTTGCGGAATACGAAAAACTGTCCGAAGGAAAACCCTACGATGAGAATCTGAAAATCGGAACAGTACTCAAAGGTTTACCAAATGAGTTAAGGAAACATATCCTGATAGGGTTGACCCCTACGACGAAGTACGCAGACATCAGAAAAAAGTTGCTGGAGTATGAAAGGAGTACCCAATCGTGGAACGCGGAGAACATTTTGCAGTCTTTTAACATGGAAAGCGCAACGAAGAGTACGCCCTATTCTGGGCCACAGCCAATGGATGTTGATCGAGTGAAAGGAAAAGGAAAAGACAAAGGAAAAGGAAAAGGCCACGACAACAAAGGAAAAGGAAAAGGGTACAACAACAAAGGAAAAGGAAAAGGAAAAGGATACGACAACAAAGGGAAAGGAAAAGGAAAAGGATACGACAACAAAGGAAAAGGAAAAAGTGGTTATAGAAATGCAAGAGCAGTGGACGCTGGTGGCTACGGAAAAGGGAAGTTCATAGGAGAGTGCCACATATGCGGAAAGACAGGACATAAAGCAGCTGATTGCTGGCAGAATCAAGGAAAAGGAAAAGGAGGTAAAGGCAAAGTGAGACAGGTAGAAGAGGAAGGAACCCATCAAGGAGATCACGAGAAGAGTTCCTCTAGCAATGCCCCTCCTACGAAGAATGAGACTGGTCAAGTGAGGCAGATCACAGCTGAAGCAGCGCGCCAAGCAAGAAGAGTTGAGATGACACAAGAGTGGAACGATGAAGATGAAGAGCTCAACTTTGTGAGATTGTGTCAAGAGTTTGAAGGTTTGGTTCAAGGAGAGCTGAGAAGAGTTGAGGAGTTTGATATCTCTTCGAGCGATGAAGTGGAAGAGATCGAGGAAGAACCGACTGATGGTTTGATGGAGTGGTATCAAGGATGGTGGTTCTTGGAAACAGAAGTTGAAAGAAGTGTGAGAATGGTTTCTGAAGGAGATGAAGTGAGAAGAACAGCAAGAGAAGTGGATGCATGTGAGGTAGTGCTCGACAGTGGAGCTGACTGCCATGTGTTGCCTATGGATTGGGCAGAAGAAGTCGGAGAAACTTCGAACTTTGAGTACCATCTGAAAGATGCGCAAGGGAAAGTGATCCCAACGTTGCCTGTGAGGCAGAATGTGACGTTTGTTTTCACAAAGGAGTCTGGAAAGAAGTTGAAGATCACTGACAGTGCTGTTTGCGGCAATGTCACCCAACCTTTGTTTGCGGTAGGAAAGATGTGGAAGCTAGGTTGGGGTACGGTGAATGAGGATGGAAGATTGTGGTTGAAGAAAGGAAGTGTTCGGATACCGATATACTTCAAAAGGAATTCCTCAATGGCGAGGATGTGTATACGGAGACTTGAAGGAGAAGAGATGACAGTGCAGCCTGTGAGGCTGGAGCGAGAACTGAAGAATGAGTTGAAGAGCAAAGAAGATGAAGATGGTTGGTTTGTGCTAAATGACGGCACGCCTGCAAGGTTTGATTGGTTTATGGGGAAGACGTTTGACCCAACGGGTCAGTTCCCTAATAGACTCTATGAGGGAGCAGGAGATGAAGGCGATTATTTTCCTTATAGGACAACCTTGCTAGGAAAGATGAAAAGAAGTGGAGAAAGAGTGTTGAATGAAGTGGATTGGAAGAGTATGGATTTCTTTGAGTGTACGGAGATCTGGAAGGATCGCGAAAGAGTGCAACTTGGGGCGAGTCCTCAAGCAAGGTTTGAGGTGATGGTCACCTTGTTGGAAAAGGGATTGAAGGAACCGAGTGACTATGGGTTGCTCACGAATTTGGAAGAGCTTGAAAGAGAACTGGCACAAGAAGGAGTGCCAATGGAGGTCACAGGAACCTCCTCAAGTTCGAAAGACAAAAAGGAAAGTGAGAAAGAGGAACCGAAGAGAGGAGTTCCAGTGATTGGTGAAGATGAGGAAGAAGTGATGGTGATTGGACCAATGAAGTTGACACGCCAGAGTGAGTTGAAGGAGATGAAAGCGGCGTGCAAGTATCTGCATATCTCGAAGAATGGATCGAAAGAGATTTTGTGGAAAAGATTGAAGAAAGAGGTTGCGCTGAGCAAAGTGAAAGCGCAAGCCCAAATCTCTGAGGATATCATAAAGGAGTTTGAGAGAGAACCGATTCCAGAGGCTCTGCCTGCTTTGCCGAGCCCGGAAGAGATTGAAGCGCATGAGTTGACGCATTTGCCGAGAGCGCCCTGGTGTGAAGCATGCCAGGCAGCAAAGAGCAGAGAAGACAACTTTGAAGAGACGAAGGAGAAAGCGCAGAGACCCGTGTTTAGCTTGGACTTTATGTTCACAGGAACACAAGGAGACGAAAAGGAGAGAGATCCGCTTGCTATTCAGCTTGCGGGTGTTGACAACGACACGAAGTTCCTGATAGCTATTGCGGTGCCAACGAAAGGAGGAGATGCGGTGATAAACCACGCAGTGAGTGAAGTGGCAAGAGTGTTAGCCCTTTTGGGTTACGCTGAAGTGGTGATTAGAACGGACACCGAGCCAGTGATGATTGCCATCAGGAGAGGAGTTCAAGTGGCAAGAACAAGACAAGGTTTGAAGACGGAGTTGCAAGATGCCACGCCTGATGAGCATCAAGGGTTGCCTGTGGAAAGGTATATCCAAACTGTGAGGAACCTTGCGAAGACGTTGTTGGCAACGGTGGAGCAACGAAGTGGAACGGCCATCGGATCTGATGTCCCGCTTTATAGCTGGGCGTACAGACATGCAGCATGGCTGCACAACAGGTTTCATGTTGGAAGAGATGGCAGAACTGCGTTTGAAGCGACAGTGGACCGAACGTACAAAGGGAAGCTGGCCCCGTTCGGGTCAGCAGTGTTTGGAAAAGCAGTGCCAAAGACCAAGGAGAAAGGAGAACCTTGGGAGAAAGGAGTCTTTCTTGGAAAGGACTACGCGAGCAATCTGAACTTGATTGGCACAGGTAGAGGAGTGATCAAAGCGAGGACAATGAGAAGATGTGCTGAGGCATATCAGCCGGAGCTTTTGCAACTTTCGGTTGGAGCTCCATGGGATCATCAGCTGAAGGCTTTGAGGTTTAAGAAGAAGAGAATTGTGCCTATTGATGATGGGCCAGGACTGCCAAGATTGGCGGTGGAAGCTGACAAAAGAGTAGAAGAAGAAAAGAGAAGCGAGCCTTCGCCGCAAAGCGACCGCCAAGGAAGCTCAAGTTCTTCTAGTAAGAGTTCGTCGCTGTCTGGAGCGACGCCAGAAGCAATGGACGACGAGAGCGATGACGATGATGATGATCCAGGAGAGGTGAGAACAAAGAGAAAGGCGGAAGATGAATTGGTGCCCGATGAAATGACATTGGAAGAGTTTCAAAGAGAAGTGGCAAAGAGGAATGCAGAAGAAGAAGGAGAAGGGTCACCAAAGAAAGAACCAAGAGTAGACGAAGGAACTGGAGAGGTAGAAGAAAGAGTTGAAAAGGTGCCGAGACTGGGAGACGAAGCACGAGGAAGCGCGGCACGAGTGGAATACCACATTCGGAGATTCGCCAAGAGCGAGGATCCCGAAGAGCATGGAGATGAATATGTTGATCTCGACGAGACACAGCTGTTTCTGGAAGAAAGTCGAGAGTTCCAGAGCAAGTGGAACGAGAAGGTGTGTGAGACAGAAGAGGACCTAACGGTTACTTGGTCTCACGAGTATGATGATGGGCCACCAAAGTTGGAAGATGAAGATTTGGAAAAGGTGGACCTGAAAGCGGAGAGAACAGAAATCGAAAGACTATTGGAGATGAAAGTTCTCAAAGAAGTGGAACTGGATGAGAATGGAGAGTTAAAGAAAGGACCGAATGGAGAAGAACCAAAGAGACTCAGTACAAAGTACGTGTTGGATTGGAGGCATAGGGACCTCCAATGGAAGAGGAGAGCCCGCCTAGTGGCGCGGGAGTACAAGTGGCTGACGGACTACGATCTCTCAGCGCTATACTCACCAACGAGGATTGGTTCGAGCATCAAGCTGTTATCAGCTTTGTGTGCGAGTTCAAGAGACTACGAGATGATCTCGATAGACATTTCGGACGCGTACCTTCAGGTGCCACAGAAGGAGTACACGGTTGTGAGATTAGGAGGAAAGTGGTACCAGCTGCAGTACACCCTGCCGGGACAACGAACAGGAAGCAGTGATTGGTTTGAGCACTTACGAGAAATCCTGGAGAAAGAGAAGATGGTTTCCGATGTGGGGTTACCAAGTTTCTTCTACAAGTTTTCAGAGAGCCCAGGAGAAGGTGGAACGCTGATGAGTACACATGTGGATGATTTGGAAGTGTTTGGAAAACCAAAGGAGAATCAAGCAGTGGTTGATCTGATGCTGAAGCACAAGTTGAAGATAAAGCTGGAAGGACCAGTGAAGGTTGGAGAAGGAAAGTGTACTTTCTTGAAGAGGACGTTCTTAGGAACGAAAGAAGGAATTGAGATCAGGATGGACGGCAAGTACCTTGAGAAGTTGGAAGAAATTTTAGGTTTGGGAAAAGCCCTGCCAAAGAAGTTGCCGTTTCCAATGGATTACGGAAGATCGTTGAAGGACGATACGCCCTTGGATGCAGATGAACATCATCTGTATAGATCATGTGTAGGAATCCTATTGTATATGACACCGGAGAGACCTGATTTGGGATTCGCTACGAAGTGGTTGTCTGGGAAGTTGGCAGCGCCAACGCGAGGAGACTTAGCAGTGCTTAGGCACGTGGCAAAGTATGTGAAAGCGACAGCCCACTACGTGATAGAACACAAAGAGGCATATCCTGGAAAGAGTTTTCTGGATCCAAGTGATAAGAGAACTGAGAATGCCTACAAAGATGTTTTTACGGCAAAGAGTTTGATCGAGGTAGTGACCGACGCCGACTGGGCGACCGATCGTGAGAATAGGCAGTCAACGAGCTGCGTGTTGATTTTCGTGAACAGTAACATCGTTTACTTTCACGCGAGAAAGCAAAAAGCGACGGATTTGAGCAGCTGCGAAAGCGAACTGGTGGCAGCTGTTGGAGGTTTGAGTGAAGGAGTTTTTCTACAGAACCTGCTGCACAGAGTTCTAGGGATTAGGCCGGAGATGGTGAGTAGGATGGATTCTAGCAGTGCTAGGTCTATTCTCATGAAGAAAGGCCTAGGAAGAACGAGGCACATTGATGCAGGACTGCTTTGGGTTCAAAGGCTTACTTCTGTAGGTCTTCAAGTGAAAGCGATAGCTGGAAAGGAGAACCCTGCAGATGTAGGAACAAAGGCTTTGTCGAGGAACGCTGTTGTGAAGTGTTTGGAGAGAATCGGT